TTTTTAAATTTTAAATTAAATTTTAATTAAATAAAATAATTTAATTTAATATTAAAACTTTAATTTATTTTAAAAATATATTTATTTGTTTAATATTATAGTATGTATTAGTTGTAAACATTTACTGTCGACAAATCAGTATTGAAGAAAGAATAAATACATTTGTCTTTATTCATCTAACATCTAAAAATAATAATGGAGTAGAAACATTTTCGGTAAATTATTTAAAAAATGAATTTTATAAAAAAAATTTAAATTATATTAAATGATAAAATATTAATTATTAGATAACAGACTTTTTTTCATTATCAATTTAATATTTTATTGCTCGAATTGGAAAATATTTTTTAATATATAAATTAGTTAGATTTATACCCAATTAAAAGAAGTGTGATTTAAATAAATGAATATGCATGCATGGAGAATGAGACGAGCGGCGGGGTCACGAGAAGGAGTCCGGCGGCTGTGGAGGAGGCGGTAAAGCTCGAAATCCACTTGTTCCTAGTCGGGTCCACACCCCACCTCCTGCTTTCGGTTGCACTTCACGGGGGTCCTATCGGTGGTGGTGGTGGTGGTAGTGGTGGTGGTGCATGTGGTATAAGGATTTGTCAAATTGAGGGCCAATCTAGAAGCGAGTAATAATAACATGTATAATACTTATATGTGCAAGAAATTAAAGGAGTAGTAAAGTGATCCCATGTCCTCTACCTTTACCTTTTCCATTTCTCCAAAATATAAAAAATTTGGATTTACTTTTATAATTATTCTGATCGTTTGTCTTTCTTGGGTTTTATTTGTTTGATTCAATAAGAGATAAATATTTATACAAAAATTAAAAATCTTGTATATTCTTTCAAAAATGTGTAAGGTTAGTGGGGAGAAAAAGATTTTGTGAAGTGACAAAAATTCTATCCATGGCCCATCTTCCTCCATGTTCACATCAACCAAATTCCATATCTTTGTTCCACCATGGAAACAACAAAAACATATATATTCAACCATTGTATTTCCAAACCAACTTTATCCATGAGGTTTAATTTTGTATTTATGTTTTTCTTGATAGTCTCCAAAATTGACACTTTGACGGTCCAACATGTCCCATTTGACAATAACCCATGTCCCTCTCCATTCAATCATTCCAAAAATACTATACTACTATCATGTCAAAAATCAATAATTTTCTCACACAAAATAATTCATGTTGTTGAATTTTCATTGTTTTTTTGGATCAAGCCAATTATAGTTTTGGAGGGTACATGTTCTTCTTCTTCTGCTGTCTTTTAAACGTGGGAGATCTGGAGATAGTGGCTAATAATGACAAGTATACAACAGTGATATGAGAGTTGAACTCAAATTCAATGGTCATTTAGGCTTCGTTTATCTTTATTGTGTTGCACCACCAATTTTTTTACCTTTTCTTATTTTAAAAAATATATAAATTATTAATTAAAATTAAAAAAATACACAAAAAAAAATGAATTAAAAATCAGAAATTTACATTTTTAACAAACCTATCTTACGCTTCGGGTATGAACCATTACACTGACTTGGAGGGTTTATGTCTGAATTGGATAAATTTTTTATGTGTGTTTTCAAACTGATGACATGGAAAGGGGGCAGATTACTATTGTTCAAGCATGCAAAGAAAGATTGAGAGAGTAAGAGATCGCTTTTTTTAATTTGGGAGCAATTTTTTAGGGTTTTTTTGGTGTTCTTTAGTGAGGAACTGAAGATTCGGTAGTCAGACTAGTAGTTTTGTCTCTCTGAAGCTTTATGCAGTGAGAATGAGCTTTCCTCCCTTTCTTTAATCTTTTGTCATCTTCTCAATGAAAACAACAATAGAAACTCACTCCTCCTAGCATTTAAACCCCTAAAGCAAATACAATTCTACACAACTACACATAAATCAATGACAATATTATAAAACCAGACACTACTGTAATAACAAGGGAATTATCATTAATCCATAATACCCTTTATCCACCAACCTGTTATTCTGACATAAATGGAGAAAAGCTATCTTTAGTCCCTAAATTTACGCCGATAATCATTTTATGTGACTTGGTAATGTCTTTGAGAGCTGTAAAGATGTTACCTTTCCTGCTAAATCATGAAGATTGGAGATATATAATAAGATGATTTGAAATAGTGAAGAAAATCCAATAATGCAAAGATAAACCATGCGCATCCTCACATACAGATTCCACCAATTTCGCCCCGAGCCATTATATCGAATAATGCTGTCTTATTATGCACCTATAAATCATTATGGTCCATAATTGTAGAAACCATTTTCATGGGAAAGTTTTATTCTCCTGTTGACATGGTTCTGTATATGTTTTTCTCATTTTTTGAGGAGACCAAGTCATAAAGGAAAGGGAAAACTACGGTGCAATATGCAAGATGTATGACTGTAGATAAAAGAGAAAAGGTAAGATCATCATTACGAGAGAATTATGAGTGCAAAAGGACAATCTAATTGAGTTCTTTGCCCCACCCACACACAACACAAACAAATCAGGGTCTCCTTTTAAAAAAAAAAAATTCCCCTATTTACAAAAACAATGCATAGAATGATAGCCCCACAACAAAGCCTCCATTTTGGACCCCAAAAATGCATAAGCAAAAACCCGTTTCACATCTTCCCTCATTGCACCTTAACTTCAAAAAAGCTCTACTTAAGAGGATTAGGTGACATTTACTTTGGTCATGGGTGCATATGGGATACAAAAGGCCATGTTCCAAGTACCTAGTTCATGGTACATGGCATCCTTTAATCTTTTCCTTTTATCAAGGGGAAGACATAGGGGAACTCTCCTATTGATCCCTTTTGATCAATACTATCCTCGAGCACTTTTATTTGGGTTGCTTAGCTTATAGCTAGGTTGTCAACAGACTTTGTCTCCATAGATCCTAGTTCCTATTTCCTTCTTTCAAAGAGATAGAGCCTGAGTTTTTTCCATGATTACTCTAGTTTTTAGAAATTAGACCACACATGAGTTAGCTCTATCATAAGACACTCCTACCCACTTGAATTCCATTAGGAAAAATACCCCATCATAGCTTTAAGAAACCCTATGCAATTATATTAATACATGTAGAGTGAAGGAATCCCAAGAAAGAATTTAGAGTTTGGCATGTTACTAAAGCAAAGACAAAAGCATGGAAGCATACAACAATTCATTTCCAGGAAATGGCAATATGGCATACCTTCTTTGGGATTTACATAAATATTCCAAACGAAAATGCTATAAGTGCCTGGGTGATCTTCACTGTTCACTGACATGCCTTGAAATCTACAATAAAAAGAGAGCTCATCCCATTATTTTTACAATAGAAAACTGCATGAAAATCATCAGTAGAAATGGGTTTTCAAATGTGAAGGGATAGGGAAAAAAAAAGGGGAAAAGATGGTCTTTTGCTTTTGGCCCCCTTCCTTTTTCTTTTTAAATTGTAAAGTGGTTAGACCTATGAATTCTGTACCCAAAAAATTAAAAAAGACCCATGAATTATGCAAGGATGTGCATGAAATAAAGGGAGTGTACATTAAGAAAGATCCCAACAAAATTTTCCCTCTTTCACAGAAATTTCTTCCAAGTCATGGAGCCCAGCCTGTTGACTTCAGTGCTACGAGATCAATACCTGCTCAAGTGCTCATCTCCATGTTACAGTGCTTCTCTTGTGGCCTTTAGGCTTCGTGTTGGGCCAACTGAAGAAACAAAGCCTGTTTTAATCATCTGGACCAAAACGAAATGGGCTTCCACCACACCTGTTTATTCCTCGAATCGTTACTTTCCACAGAATGTAGAGTAAGGCAGTAGGCCTCCAGACCTCTAAAAGACTTTACTGTACATGTTTTCCATGTAAAAAATTAAGCTAAACGGTGTTGAGATTTTTTTTTAATATATCAACAACCCTTTGAGATAGACTCTCAGCAAATTTTTCTAATGAAGTTCAAATCCTAAATCTTCAACTTGCAGGTGAAAGTGAAACATCGTTGCTGAGTTGCACACTTGCACCAGTTTAGCCACTGCATCTACTTTTTCTGCAATTGATTGAAGTAGCTTAGCCACTTGATGTCTTGATCACATAACTGAGATCCAGGTCCACTTGTAAGCTCTTCTGCAGAAGCCACGATTCCTATGCCTGAAAATAATTGCAACACATTTCTCCAAATTCAGTAATGCTTCCCTACATGCAGTGATCGATTTTCTACTCCAGGAACAGATTCTTTCTGCTCTATCTGTTAATTTCATGCTGATGAATTTTGTTTGTCGGCGCCTTCATCTATTTTGTCTCCTGAGAAAGCATGAAGTGGGTCACGCTAGCATTTGGTCACGTTTGAGTCCCGCGATGAGCATCCATAGCTGAAACATGTTAGCATGGATCTATGGATTCCGTTTAACACTAATCAGGAAGGCAAGTTCATACTATGTGACTTTAATATGGTTAGTTGAATAAAAATTGAGGAAAAGAAAAAGTTATAAATTAAAAGATCAAAGTGCCCAACCTAAGAAAATTAACTTTGTTTCTTGAGTTTGAGGATAGACTACCTTCAGAATTTAGTCGGGAGGCATCAGCATCCATTATTTCTTCCACCTAAGTTTTTTCTGAATGCAATTGCTCTGTTGAGTCAGAAAATGCCTCACAGCACACAATTGTCCTCTGCATGCCAAGCTCACCTGATTACTCTGAAGAAAGTCAGTATTATGGGGACAAGCATCTTTTATGGCATTCCTGTGTCATCTATAACATGGACCCCACGTCCAAAAGAGCGCTCACCATCACTTGGCTGCCCAGCATGAACTTACAAGAAAATTGTGTATGTAGGTTCCATACAAGACTTGCATCCAACTTAAAATCAATTGACAATAAGTTGAGTGAATTTCTTTGTATTTAATCCACAAGTTTCTTATTTTTATACTTGATGTGAGATTTTTTTATTTAATATGCCCTCTCACGTACAGTTCGCTATGAATGTTAATATTGAGTCCTGTCACATGGGTTAACTTGTCCTCTTAAATACACATCCAATATCTTCAACTTCGGGTCCTGTTAGATAAATTAACAATGAGCTTCTCATAACAGAATCTGGTTTTTGATACTATGAGAAAATTATACACAATGGCTCAATACAAGACTTGCATTTAAACTAAAATTAATTGGCAATAGATGGAGTCGTTTTCCTTATATTTAATTTACAAGTTTTTTATTTTTATACTTGATGTGAGATTTTCTTCCACTAGATAAAGTCAGTAATCAATTTAGGGCTTGTTTGGATCAACTCCTAGAAGTTTCAGCTTTTGATTCTTTTTTTTTTTTTTTAATTTTAATTTTTTTTTTTAAAACTTTCCTTTTTTAATTTTTTTTTTAATTTTAAAAAAACCTTAAATAGTAAAAGTTCAAAAGTTTTAAGTCCAAATTTTTCATAAATTCCCTTTTTACTCATTTTTTATTTATTTTTTCTTATCTCTGAAAGCAAAAGCTCAATTTTCCTTCCAATAAAAATTTAAACTTATTACTCATAACAGTATTTAAAAAGCAAAAACTATTACAAGCCACACTAAACAAGCCCTTAAATCAACAATCCACTAAAATGACCTTGACCTTCACTATCATCTATATAATATTCCTTGGAGATGGAGACATTGCATCAGATCTTAAAAGCTCCTCTATGTTATGCAAAGAATTGTAGTTTCAATTCCAATTTCCACAGAAAAAACGCAGCATGTCAAACGTGGCGTGCTGAAGAAAGTATTGACACAAAAGAATCAGCTAAATCCGTTACTAATGCATGTGGCAGTTGTAAGGGAAAAAAATCATAATGGCATAGGGAAACATGACTAATCTGATCCATATGCATGTCTGAACGTGTCCTGTAAAACTTATGGTTGCTGCGCCCACCACCTGGTAGAGCAATTGGTAAAACCACTTACTCACTGCGTGTGGTAGGCAGCATGGCTCGAGACGTTCCCATCCTTGGATTTAACAAATGATCCTAAACTTCATTTGTTGTTTTCTTCACTTGCATCAACAGATATAGCAAGAACTCGATTACGAGTATGAAATATTGCAATTATTGGTGAAGTAACGCTTCTAATTGTTGTAAAACAAGCTTAAACAGTCAAATTTCCTCTGAATTCTCATCCAGAAACAACTAGAACATCAATCTTATCATAAAAAGCAAATGTTCTGGTAAAATTCAGCACCATCCGATGAATTCCAGAGAAATGGATAGACATCTAAAAACTGAAGATCAAAATATCCATTCCTATTTAATGAAACATGAAAAACAAAAGGTCTAAATAAAATTACAAAAAAAAAATCACGGATTACATTAAATACAAATTGATGCTAGTAATTTGAAAGGTCTCCGCCGACTAGAAACCAACCATCAGGCGACATAGCGAGGCAACTCGGTGGTTTAGGCGTTCGGTGAGTGGCCCTTAGGTGTGAATGCGGGCCTGATTCCACATTGTAACCACCACCGCGCATCCAGCTTCATAACCACATCTCGAGCTCGATGCACACGTTGTTAATCCATTTTCGTTGTTCTTCAACATCAGCTGCAATCAAATCAGCAAACATTTAAAACCAATTTCTCCTATTTTGCCTTCTTTTGGAAATACATTAGGTATTCCATAAGCTGGTTTCTTGAGAATGCGATTCGCTTTCATCACCGATTGGACGAACTGAAAGCTGAAAAAGGCCTAATCCGCAATCAAGAGAAGGTAGGCATAAATTTTGTAAACGTTAGAAGCGGTAAAATATACATATATCTTAAAAAGGGCTGTCAGTTTTGCAGCCTGAAGTAGGACTGTCCCTTCTGTAATGGTTTTCAATTACTAATTTGTAGTCTGCATTTATTTTATTTTATTTTATGGGAATATTCTAAGAAAATAAATTTAATTTTTAGATAACAAAAAATATAAGCTTAAAAAAAATTTTAAAAAGTGTTTGTGTAATCCAAATGATATAAATTAGATCATTAAATAGAGGGAGCTTATAATATTTAAGTGGTTTTTTTTATTCAATGATTTTTGTTTTCTTGTTTAATTTATAGATTGCAAACGAAAAGCTCAAAACATTATTAGTTTGGAAACATTAAAATACTTTTATATTTTGTTTGGTTAGAAAGAATGATGAATGGATAAATTACTTTATTTAAATAATAAAAATTTATGGTAATTGATAAAAATTTATATTTTGTTCAGTTCGAATGGCTTTGATAGCTAGAGGAATGATAATTGATAATGGTTGCAGGGTTTGTGGTAACTACATAGAATCGTTGACTCATTCATTTTTTGGTTGTGAGTGGAGTTCACAGCTTTGGAGTTGGGTACTTCCAGATCTAGATGTTCAAAATTTTGTGGGGGATGATTTTATGGGTGTTTTGCAACATGTTTTGACACCCCTGGATGATGAACAAGTGCAATTGTTTGCTGTGGGGTTATGGGTTATTTTTGGAACAATCGTAACCGATGTGTTTGTGATTTTTTATGTGATCATGTGCAGCAAGGTTTCCAAAGAGTTGGTGTTTTTTGGTGGTTCGATGAGCTACAGAGGGTAGGAGAGGATCAAACAGCGGCTGTTGCGAGTCGAATGCAGCATCCGACTGGAGCATGGTGTCCTCCTCCTGTTGCGGTGGCAAAGATTTACTCGGATGCATCAATCCTGGCCACCAGAAACTCGTTGAAAGTGTGGTGTGGTCACTCGTGATGCTTCGGGAGCAGCTCTTGATAGTGGTCGCAGGACTCAAAGGGGAATTTTTTCGATTTTGGATTGGTGAGGTGGAGGTGAGAGGGTTTGGATTGGTGAGGCTGGCGGCCGTAAGTCCCCTACTCAGATGTCCATGTAACTACTAGTTGATTTTTTTTTTTTTTTTTCATGTTTGTTGCATAACGAAAAAATGTAATTTTTTTTATTTCTTATTTTATCTTATTTGCGTGTTATGCGATTCAAATTTATGATTTTTTGGTTCTAACAAAAAAAGATTATCATTAAATTATTTATGTCGTTGGTAACTACTAGTTGATTTTTAATTGATATTTTTAGTGTTTACCTACCAAAATAATAATAATAAATTAAGAAAAAGAAAAAATAGAAAGAGAGGAAATAAGAGCAACTCTTTTTTGTTTTTATTATTTTTTTAATAATTTTAGTGTAACCATCCCTCTCCCTTCCTTCTTTCCATTTCTCTAAAATCTAACAAGTCAATGAATTATATATAATAGAATATCATTATCATCACTTACTATTTTATTAAAATCATTAATTTAATTTAATTTAATTATTAAAAATATTTTTTATTTTTAATAAATTTAATTTTTTATTTAATGAAATAGAGATATAATAATTTATTAATAAGACTTTATATTTATTTTTAATTAAGTACCACTTATTTTTTATTTCATATACGTTATAATTATTTTTTAAAACAGAGGCAGAAAAACAAATGCTAATGAATTATTGATTCGAGTGAAAAGAATTAAATTTTTATTAAATA